CAAGACTCAACAACAACAACCCCCCTCCCCTGAAAGGTCACCCTGCTAATTTCCCCTGGTCCTCGCTTTCTCTAATGTTTATTTTAATGTTGTTGTTATTATTTTACAATAATCTTTATTTTCAGGGTCATGATGTGCACTGAAATGCTGTTTGGTTTAGTTGCACTAGGTGTGCAAGTACAAGATAGCAAACTAAACTCAACCCCCCCACATTTCACATCGTTTCGGCCATGGCACAAAGGTGCGCACGATATCCCCTCCAGGCAGCCGAGGCAGCGCACTGAGCTGGGAGATGCGTGACGCATTGCTCCCAGCTCTGGCGCAAAAAGGGGGACATTCGGTTGGACCTCCAGGAAATTGGTGCTTTGCAAAATATCTTGAAGACACCCCCCGCCAAAGGAAACCAGGCACTCGTGCATTTCTACCCGGCTGGTGAATTTTGTCCATTTGTGAATATATTTTTTTCCCCCACCCTCGCCGGCGTCCTCTGTTCTTTTTCCTCTTCCCTCCTCGGGCAGCTGCCCTCTAAGTGCCCCCTTTTTTCTCTCTCTCTCTCTCTTTCTCTCTCTCTCCCCCCCCTCCCCCCTTCCTGTCCCGAGAGATGGACTGGAGCAGTTGGCCAGGCTGAGTCACAATAATAAGTGACTCACTTTGGGAACAATTAAAACGGAGGGAGGGAGCGAGCGGAGGAGGGGAGGGGGAGCCATGTTTTTTTTTTTGCCACAGCTCAAATTTCCCTGAGGTGGGAGCGGCAGCGAGAGGTGGCCCTCTCAAGGTCAGGGCTCCCAAAGGAGAACTTAGTCACCCAGTGGGCATCTGCGAGGACCGTGCGTGTGCGGGGAAATGGGGTGTGTGCAATTGCTCATCCGGGGTGTGTGTGTGTGTGTGTTTTTCTGCACTGTGCCACGTTTTCTCGTTGGCCTCCAGGATATCTTCCTGTACAGGTACCCTGTTTTCCCGAAAATACAACCTACCCCGAAAATAAGTCCTAGCTGGATTTTTTTTACACGTGCGTCCAATATAAGCCCTACTTCCAAAATAAGCCCTAATTAAGACTCCACCCACCCCAGAGTGGATGGGTAAAAAAATTAAGCTATGGGGATGGGTGTGTGTGGAGCTGCCCTTACTACTTACCTTTGGACAGGTGTAGCCAGGCCTTGCACCCCTTGACACCTGCCTTGCCGGCCCATTTCTTCTGCAGCCGACAAGGCTGGCAAGGCTTTCCTGAAGGCCTCTGGAGCAGAGAACGAAGCTCTGGATCGATCCAGAACTCTGTTATCGGCTGCAGCGGCCTTCAGGAAAGCCATGCCGGCCACAGAAGAAGGAGTTCCGGTAGGAGGCCGGGGATGACGCACACAAGTGAGGTTAATCAGTGGAGGACTTCCTCCGAAAATAAGACCTGGTGTCTATTTTGGTGGCCAAAAAATATATGACAGGGTCTTATTTTGGGGGAAACGTGGTAGTCCTTGAGTTATGTTACGACTGCAACACAGCCCAAAATTTCCGTTGTTGCTCCACACGAGAATTGCTAAGTGAGTTTTTGCCCCACTTTATGAACTTCCTGGCCCCGGTTGTTAGGTGAATCGCTCCCGTCGTTAAGTCGCTCACATAGCCGTTAAGCGAATCAGACTTCCCCGTGGATTGGGCTTGCTGGAAGTGCGCCAAAGGGGATTGCATCACACACATACACACACACACACACACACACACACACACACACACACACAGGGACGCTGCAACAGTTGGTTGCCAAGGGTCATAATTTTGATCCTGTGACGGTCGTAAGTGTGAAAAAAAACAGTCCTAAGCCACATTGTTCGGCCCCGTTGTGACTTCAAATGGTTCCTGTTGTAAGTAGAGGACTGTAATGCCCCTGGTGGAGACTGACTCTGAGGGAGAGGAGGAACAGCCAACAGGAAGTGGAAGTGTGGCTCCAGAGGTTGTGGAGGAGGCTGGGGAAGGGCAGAGGCCGGCTGAGCAGTCAGAGGAAGAACCAGGCCCATCCCCTCTCCATCCTAGGGCACACAGGGAGGAGAGAATAAGGGAGAAACGTGAATGGCGTGGTCTACGGGGGAGGAAAGGGCCCTGATCCCCTTCATGGGCTGCAGCTGTGACAACTGGATAAGAGGACAGACATGCATATGGGTGAATGCTGGAAACAAAGCGTGGAAATATCTCTAGTTTATGGTTCCTCTCTGAGTTTGGCATCCTTTCCAGTGTGGGTTCTGTTATCTGTGGATGTCCTCCAGCCCTTATCTTGCCTGGTTTGTGTAGCTTTTTTCCTTCTTCTTGTAACTGTTTGTGTGGGAGTTTTTTGTCTTCCCTCAAGGATATTCAGAGCTTGGAAGCCAAGTGAAGGAATAAAAGGGGCTTCACCTGTTTTCTGTGACCGTGTTTGTTTTGTATCCCACACCCTGGGTCATCACAAGGACTCCTGGTGCTGCGGAGGCGAAGGGATGGGTGTGAAGCCTGGCGGTTTGGGCTCAGCTTTCCGTTGGCGTTGCCAATTTTCACTTGACATCATTCGGTGTGTTTCTTCCTGTGCTGCTCATTTGGATCAGGTTTCATTTGAAAGAGCCTGTCTGGCAAACGGCTGCAGACTAAGTTTATCTCCACAATAGATCAAGCTTAGGGGTTGCATTTATTCCCACCCACCCACAACAACCTTCTGACCCTCATGCCCGCCCCCCCTCCGGCTTTCTATTCTCCTTCATCTTTCCTCCTCCTCTTCCTCCTCCTCTCCACCAACTCCACCCACTTCTAACTCTGAGGATGTTACCTGGTTGGGTCGTGAAACATCTGCAAGAAAATCGCCAAGCTCAGAGAGCACCAAGAACCCCGCAGTCTTCCTCCTCTCTCCAAACCCTCCTCCCTTGTAGCACTGATGATGTTACCTAGTTTGGTCATGAAATGCCTGCAAGAAAACCACCCAGCTCAGAGAGCACCAAGGACCCCACAGCCTTCCTCCTTCTCCTCCTCCTTCCAACATACCTCCACCTTCTCCTTTTCTTCTTTTTCTTCTCCTCATCTTCTTCTTCTTCCCCCATTCCTCCTCCTCCCCTTCCTTCCTTCCTTGCTTCCTTCCTCCCTCCTCCCCTTTTTTCCTCTTCCTTTCTCCTTTCTTTTTTCTCTTTTCCTTTCCATTTTCTTTTCCTTCTTTCCTTTTTCCTTTCTCCTTTCTTTTTTTCTCTTTTCCTTTCCTTTTTCTTTTCCTTCTTTCCTTTCTCATATTTTTCTCTTTT